GATCACCAGCCCAGGTTGGATGCATGAGACAAGTGCTCAGACCTGGTGCACTGGGAAGACCCAGAGGGATCGGGTGGAGAGGGAGTTGGGAGGGGGGGATTGGGATGGGGAATACATGTAAATCCATGGCTAATTCATGTCAATGTATGACAAACCCACTACAATATTGTAAAGTAATTAGCCTCCAACTAATAAAAATAAATGAAAAAAAAAAAGAAAAGGACATCTTTTTTGGATGTTAGTTCTAGAAGGTGTTGTAAGTCTTCATAGAACCATTCAATTTCAGCTTCTTCACCATTACTGGCTAGGGCATAGACTTGGGTTACTGTGACATTCAATGGTTTGCCTTCTAAACAAAGAGATCATGCTTATATTGTTTTTAAATGCTCCTTTATATTTACCCCAAACAGTTTAACACTTATGGCCACAAAAATCTACACACAGATGTTTGTAGCAGCTTTATTCAAGATTGTCAAAACTTGGAAGCAGCAACATGGGATACAGTAGATAAATAGATACCAAAAAGTGTCACATGTAGACAATGGAATATTAGTACTAAAAAGAAACAAGCTATCATGAAACATAAATAAATATCACTAAGTGAAAGAAATCAATCTAAGAAGCATATATACTGTACAATTCCAATGATGTGACATTCTGGAAAAGTTAAAGCTTTTCAGTATAAGGATCAGTGGTTGGTAGGGGTGGGAAGAGAGTGAGGGATAAATGAGGATTTTTAGGTAGTGGAACTGTTCAGTATGATACAAATCTACCCAAACCCATAGAACAACATCAAAAGTGAATCTTAATGCAAAGTATGAAATTTAAGTGATAATGATATTTCACTGAAGCTTCACTATCTTTAACAATTATAATACTCTATCGGGAATGCAGAGAATGGGGAAAGTTATGCATGTGTGAGGGCAAAAGCTGTAGAGTAAATCTTTGTACCTTCCATTCTGTTCTGTTGTGATCCCAAAATTGTTCCTAAAATAAAATAAAGTCTTGAGATAAATACTAAAACATGTTGGCAAAGAATTCTCCATGAGCACCTTGCATAGTATCTAGAAAGGGGGGGTGGGGGTTAGAAGACCACCAAAATGAAAATACATTAATTAATTATAGTTAATTTATAGCAAAAATAAAATGTGTGGGCCAAATCTCATGCTTCCTAATTAGCATGGAATACTAGATATCTAGAGGCTTTGAGGAAATCACATGATCATTAGAAATTTGGGGTAGGGGAGAATGAAATTTTGCCATTTGCAGAAACATGGAAGGGCCTAGAGACTATTACACAGAGTGAAGCAAGTCAGAAAGAGAAAAACAAATATCATATAAGAGTGCTTATTTGTGGAATCTACAAAAATGGTACAGATAAAGTTATTCGCAAAGCAGAAATAGAGGCACAGGTGTAGAGAACAACATATAGATACCAAGGGAAGAACAAGGGATGGGATGCATTGGGAGATTGGAGGTGACATATACACAGGACTGCATGTAAAACAGATGACTAATGAGAATCTACTGGAGAGCACATGGAACTCTCCTCAGTGCACAGTGGTGACCCAAATGGGGAGGAAATCCAAAAACCAGGGGATCTATGTCTACATGGAGCGGATTCTCTTTGCTGTACAGCAGAGACTAACAACATTGTAAAGCACCTATACTCGACTAAAAATTAATTAGAAATAAAATGCATGATATTTAGAAAAAAGAAAGTATTTTCTGGAGATCTTTAAAGGAATGCAACTGAATTTTTCAAATATTATTTATGTCTTTGTTAGTAAGACTGAACTGTTGTAAAAACCACCCCAGCATCTCACAGACTTAATACAAATAATGTTTATTTTTTATTCATAACACAGTCAGCAGAGTATGAGTCATTCAGAGATTCACATAATCATTCAAAGATCCAGGCTCCTTTCAATCTTCTCAGTCTGCCCTCCCCTTGAACCCTGGGGTCTTCTCTAACAAGTCAGTTAGGAAGAGAAAAGGCATGGAGAAGCCATACTGTTGTTAACTGTCTTGATGCAAAGGTGGCATAAATCATTTCCCCTGTGAGGATGGCCCCACGGAGATAAAAGGGACACCCGGCAGCCCTGGTGGCTGGAGAAGCCTGGGACCACCAGGCAACAAGTCCAAATAGGGGCTGAGTGTGGTCAGTGTGCAGCTGCAGTCTCAGGGTAAATTTCCAGTCCAGGAGAAAAGTGTCTCCCTCCCCACTGGAGATTATGTAGGTGCTTGGTGTTTGGCTCCAGCTCCACAGGCCTGGAGGCGCACTGATGCCCACGACTCTTGTCAGAACACATAGTGAGCATGTGCGTACTGAGCAGTTTGGGAGTTGCTAGAATCTGGAATGGGCAAGGGTCAGGAGATGCCAGTTACCAGACAGGTTCTTTGGGAATAAGGCATATGCCAACTGGCNGTGGCCTTCCCACACCCCAGTTGCCGGCACACCACCTTCGCAGCTGAGAGATTCCAGCCTGCTTTGCACACAGTGCCCCATTGCTCTTGGTGCTTCACCTCCAAGCGCCCCTTGCAGCGGCCAGGGCCACCAACCAGCCTCACGGTCTCTGGCAATGTGGGAAAAGAAAGGTTAAGTTTCTGCTCCCTGCAAGAACACAGCCTTCCCATATAAGGGGGCTCCTAACTCTGAATTTTTCTCAGAAATAAGAATGAGACCTCAGCATCGGGCACAAACATTTGGTGACTGTTTGTCTAATAACAAACTGTGGGGTAACAAAGAGAAGACATAGATGAGTCCCTTAGCCAAATCACAGTCTAATGGAAAAGGAGATAGACACAGAGAAAATTAGCAATGCATAGACAGCAAATATATGAAAGGCATAAAGGAATACAACAGTTATATATATAAATAATTGTTGTATATGAATATGTGTATGTATATATATATATAGGTTTCCCAGGTGTATTAGTGGGTACAGAATCTACCTGCAATGCAGGAGACTCTGGAGACCTGGCTGGATTCAATCCCTGCTGGAAAAGATCCTTTGGAGGAGTGTCAGGGAATGTTTGATGGGAGGATACCTATGTGCTGTCTCTCATGAGTCCTTTGTCCCTCTTCAAGAGGAACAGCACGCTGCTCCCAGGGACTGAGGTCATTGTGTGAGGCAGGCTTGGGTCTCCTTTAGTAAACATTCTCTTTAGGACAAAACTGTTTAGTCTCCTTACCCTTTCTTGAGATATGGATTGTCTCCTGACCTTGTGACTAACATTACCCCTTATTCCCTTGGTAACGGTTGCTGTACATTTGGTTTTCTGATCTCTATCATTCCAGAAAGAAGTTTCTTGTACTGCATCCTATATATACTCATAGAAAAATCATTAAAGCACCTTTGCTCCATCAGAGCTTAGGTCCCCTGGTCTTTTTCTGTTTCTCTCTCTCTTTCTCTCATACTTATCGTCAACTCCGTACCACCAGGTTCTGGTCCATTAAAGGACCCCAACAGAGGAGGGCACGGGAACACACTCCAGTATACTTGCCTGGAGCATACCATGGACAGAGGAGCCTGGCAGATTATAGTACATAGGGTCACAAAGAGTCAGACACAACTGAAGACACTGAGCATGCACTCATGCATACATATATATATACAGCTGTTGTGCGTTGGTTTCCTATGAGCATCTCCCATCTACCTTACTAGATGATTGACTGTTGGTGAGCACTCAGTCGTTGTCACTAAGTTAATTTCTTCAGACTCTGATACACTATTTTTACACATGTCCACCTCAGAAATCAAGGTAAATAACCATATTCTCTGGTCAGGGGACACTGCTCTCATGGACTGTCTAGCAGGCTAGTGTCAATCTTGTCTTTCAGCTTCTCAACTTCCTCCTTAATGACACATTCTTATTAGACCTCTAAGACTACCTTTTAGGCTTCTGTCATGTCTTGCCTTCTTGCTTTTTTGGATCACTTGGCCTCCTCCAACAGATGTTGATTTTATCTCATTGGTTCTCAGGTATCTTACTGGTTGAAGTTTTACAAAAGAAATTTTAATGTAAAATTAAAAGGAAATCAAAGTTTCTTTACTGAAATTCCAACTTTGTCCTTCTCTTCTTAGGATAAAAGAGCCTTTCAATGACTCAATCAAAGCAGCTCAACAGGTCTCTAGATTCTGCTGGGTTGGTCAAAAAGTTCATTCAGATTTGTCCATAAGATGTTATGGGAAAACCCAAATGAACTTTTGGCCAACCCAATTGATATTACATGGTTTAGGGAACACGATCCTCATCTGTGGGGAAAATCAAGAAGACCTGAGATAACTGATCAAACAGAGGCAAAATCTCTTTGAGTAGACACGATAGATAGAAAAGTGTCTGTTAGGTCATCTTCTTCTCTTCTATGAAACTAAGTTTCTCTATTTTACCCATGAAAGGAGATAGGGAGAAAGTTCTCCATCCAGAGGAGAGAGCAGTATTACACACATGACTGCATCTCCAGCAGGTTCTCTTTACCTGATCCTACCTAAAAGGCCATCCCTGTAAAACTGACCCACCTGCTTTCCCCTTGGGTAGAAAGAGCATATCACACAGAGAGGCAACTCTTGAGACTGTGAAATCTACTTTATTAGAAAGCATAAATGCAGACACATAACAGGTACTCAACTCAGTCTCAGAGCCTGAAGTTGTCAGTTTTTAGAACCAAGCCATGATTCTCTCCTTAGTATCATTCTGTCTTGCATCAGACTTACAGACCCTAAAATCTGAGTTGACAAAATTAAAATGATATCATCTGATTGGCATGAGACACAACGCTGGATTCCCCCAAATTCTGAATGCATCTCTTCCTTTCCCATCTAGCCACACATCCATACATTTTTCCATGGGAAAAGTAAAATACATTTGTAGGATTCTTCTTGTTAAATGCACACCATGTTGGCAAGTTGTATATGGATAGTCAGCAAAGGTATTTTATTATGGGCATTCAGAGGGTGTGATATTTCTTTTCCAAGTGTCATGAAAAGGTCTAGGATTACAGGATACTGCTCTGCTCTTGAAAGAATGTGTCTGCTTTTATCAGACAACAGGAGAATAGTGAGATGTAAACATTGAAGGTTAAGAAAAAGTGTTAAAGGCTTGAGAAAAAGCATTCAAAGAACTTTCCCCGAAGTTTCATCTCATTGTTTACCAATATTCCCCTTCAAATGTTCCTTTTGTTGTCTCCTTCCTTTCATGTTTTTTTACAGACATGTAGATTTGGTCTTAGAAATGTCCTGTAGTGGTCAAAGGAACAGACCTGGGGAACCCAGGCTGGTTGCAAAGAAGCAGGAGAGGCCAGAATCAATGCCAAAGGTCAGCAGTGAGGAGCAGGTGACTGGGAGGTCATCTTCCTTGGCAAGAGAGAATTCAACAACTCATATCTCCAGGAGATGATGGGGGTGCTTGGCTCTGAGAGGAAGAGTGTTCAGATTCTGGCTGAGGGAGTGGTAGCTGAGCCTGAAGGCCCAGTGCTTGCACTAAGCCATTTGAGACCAGAAGAAAGCAAAGGACACCCAGGTCCTGCCGGAGTCAGGCCAAACATCAAATGTCAGGCTGCACTTCTGTAAAGAGAAGAAGAATGTACAGTAAGGATGGGGACATGTCAAGAAGGGATTATTTCATTCAAGCTCAAAGAGGCCAAGAAAGAAGACTGGTTCCCAAAATAGGAAAAGGAGACCCTCCCAGATCCTAATCACATACATATCTCACATTGATGTGAACCACATCAGAATCTAGTTCTGTGCCCTAGACTTATTCAACCAGCTCCCATGTGAGTCACAAACCATATCCTCTTATATTAGCATTTCNAACCATATTCATTTATATTAGCACTTCTCACCCTCCACAATCACAAAACTCTTCGAGAGAAATGGAGCAAGCATCTCCTTTTGATCAGCTAAGATTAACTAGCCTACAAATGGCAGGCTCAACTCAAAAACTAGTCTTCCATCACCAAAGCCCTCCTTTTCTGGCCACTAGATGCTCTTCATATTTTTGATCACCTTTCAACTCTTACACAATTCCCTGAGTATGTAACCAGGCAGCCCTGCATGCCAGCAACCCACAGTAATTACAAAGCTGGGCTTCAGAGCTGTGACTCTCTGAGTCAGCCACCCAAGGGCTATGCTTTACATTTCCTGACTCATATGGGAACATATTTCTTCCTTTACTCTCCTGTGAAGTGAAAGTCACTCAGTCATGTCCAACTCTTTGCGACCCCATGGACTATATTGTCCATGGAGATTCTCCAGGCCAGATAACTGTGGTGGGTAGCCTTTCCCTTCTCCAGGGGATCTTCCCAATTCAGGGATCAAACCCAGGTCTCCCACATTGCAGGCAGATTCTTNTTGGCTCCATCCCTTCATTCTTTCTGGAGTTATTTCTCCACTGATCTCCAGTAGCATATTGGGCACCTACCGACCTGGGGAGTTCCTCTTTCAGTATCCTATCATTTTGCCTTTTCATACTGTTCATGGGGTTCTCAAGACAAGAATACTGAAGTGGTTTTCCATTCCCTTCTCCAGTGAACCACATTCTGTCAGACCTCTCCACCATGACCCCTCCATCCTGGGTGGCCCCACACTACATGGCTTAGTTTCACTAAGTTAGACAAGGCTGTGGTCCGTGTGATCAGATTAGCTAGTTTTCTGTGACTGTGGTTTCAGTCTGTCTGTCCTCTGATGCCCTCTTGTAACACCTACATCTTACTTGGGTTTCTCTTACCTTGGACGTGGGGTATCTCTTCACGGCTGCTCCAGCAAAATGCAGCCGCTGCTCCTTACCTTGGACGTGGTCGCCCCTCCGGACCTTGAACCTTCAAATCCCATGAACACTTCTGAAGCTCTCTACCTGCCTGTGTTTCTGTGATTATAGCCCTTGCTCTTGTTTCCAATCCATGTGTCCCAGGTCTGTTTCCTTAACTAAGACCTTTTACTTTCCCATCTATTTTATAAAAGTCTAATACTTATGCAAGACTTTTTAGTAGTTTTTTTTTTCTTAATTGAAGACTTCAACAAGTACATGGAACTGTGAGTCCTATCCCTATTATATAGAATTCAATATAATAATAGTTTATATTAATCTAGCACTTAATACTGCTTAAAGCATTTTGATATACAAAGGCAAGTATCATTACCTCTGTTTTAAAAACAAGAGAATTGATGAGCAGCACAAATAAATAGCTTTGCCATGGTTATTTGATACATGAGTGCTATGCTTAGTCACTCAGTCCTGTTTGACTCTTCTCCTCTGTCCATGAGGATTCCACAGGCAAGAATACTGGAGTGGGTTGCCCTGCCCACCTCCAAGGGATCTTCCTAACCCAGGGATTAAACCTGGGTCTTCCCGGTAATGATAACCTTATATGCAAAAAAAGAAAAAGAGACTCAGATGTATAGAACAGACTTGTGGACTCTGTGGGAGAAGGCGAGGGCGGGATGTTTCAAGAGAACAGCATCGAAACATGTATATCTAGGGTGAAACAGATCACCAGCCCAGGTTGGATGCATGAGACAAGTGCTC